CCACCCCCCCTGTTCTTTCCCCCCACCCTCCCCAGCCTCCAGATCAGCTGGAAGCGCCGCGGGTCCGGCCCCGGGTCCTCCGCCGCTTTGCTCAGCGTCTCCCTGGTCTGCTGGCTCCGCCAGCAGACCAGGGAGACGGGGAGCAGATTTTCTCGCCCCGGGAGGAGGCGGGTGGTGGGACCAGGCGTCCCGCTGCTCCAGTCCTCCGAGGCGAGAAAATCCCTGTTCGTAACTGTGGATCCGACATAAGTCGGATCCTCGTAACTCAGGGACTGCCTGTATATATAAGGAAGAGGTTGCTTGTGTTAATGAAGCTAATCTAGTCAGGATAGAAGTGGGTCATTGATAGGATTTGGTGTGTAGATGTGAATATCCAGAGAGGAAATTGCCTTTCTGTGGTGTTAACCACAGGATCTCAACAGGTTAACACATTACAAAAGCAATGTAGGCCCACCACTGCTGTAAGTTGTGCACTTGGGCAGCCACCTGAAGAATTCAAATGCCTCCCAGCTGATTAGCAGAATGTCCTCAGCCAGCAGCATGTGTTTCTACTATTGGCGCACATCTGCATATGCCTTGCTACACATGGATGGAAAAAAATTAGAGAGAACATGGACCCCCAACCTCCTGCCCCAGCGCACACCCAAACCAGCCAGGTGCAGCTGGCCCAAAGGCTTGCCGTATCTGATCTGGAGCCAGCTGCAAATCTGTGATTTTCATGACCTTCCATAGTGTAGACAGAGCCTTAACAATAAGACATGAGGTCTGTAACTTAACAATGTCAGTTTTATTTGTTACCAGATAATGTGGTCATTTTGTCATATGCCAGGGTTCCTCAGATACTTGTATTACATAATATCTCAAGCTGTTTAAAGAGAAACATGCAGCAGAGTAACCCATTTGAGTAGGAACAAGCAGGTAAAGTCATAATGGTTGTGTTTTATTCCTTTAGCATCATTGCAACTGTTGACTCAAATTTCAATTCTTGCCGTCTGACATGGGGTTTTTGGCTTTCTATGCCTTCAGTCATATGTCTCTCTTATTTCTGCTTCAGTTTTCCTCAGTGGAATTCCTGAGTTTCTTCAGTTTGTGTTTTTTACCAGTATTCTTTTACATTTATATCATTCTGGTGCAGGGCACTCCTGATCTGCAATTGTTCTGTAATTTATTTTTTATCATTTTCAATATTTTAGAGATCCAAAAATATGAATACACGCTCACTTTTTGTTAAGTGATTTTAGCTAAATTGAATCAGTTATATGGTTTTTATATTTTTCAAAACTGAATATATGAACACTTCATTATTTAGAATCTAACTAAACTTAAGTATTTCCTTAAACATAAGAATATTAAATGATTATGTGTAAAAGTGTAATTTTAAGTAAAAGCTTTTTCTAACTTGGTTGCACAGAAATGTTTGCAGATCAGCATTGCTAACTACTAAAGAGATCTCTTACATACTTTTTCATCAGAACCTCAGTTGTGCTTTTGTACTGCTGCAGTAAAATTCTGTGCATCAAACAAGTTAATTTCATATAGTAAATGTGATGTACTGTAGTTACTACTTCAGTTTTATGGATAAATGCAAACTGAGTGAATCTTTTTTCCATGCACTCATTTACAGCCAAGAGATTCTTGTTAATGGCAGTCCAACAGGAAACCTAAATTATTTGTACACTTTTTTCCAGAACTTCATAATACATGTTATAAACAAGAGCCAGTTAAATGAGACACTGAGTTCACAGCCTTGTCATTTAAAATAGCCTGTCAGCATACTCCAGTAAAGTGTTTCCAGGCAATGATTGTGTGAAGAATATATTAAAACTTATTTTTACCTGACAGTGTTAAAGCATCATTAGTTTCTTATTGGTGTTAAAATTTTAAGTTGGGACAACATCAGTTGTCCAAAGTAGTTTTAGCTAATACTTAAGTATATCATTTTATCACTTATAGTTAAATACTAAACTACTTCATTTTGGCATTCAGACTAATGTGAATACTCTGTACATGGCTGAGTTGAATCAATAAGGTGTCTGGACACTTGTAACTACCTAAATAGATTGCCTCAAAGATTTTAAATGTGAACAGCTATGAAAGGGAAAGATGTTAAATCCTTTTACAAAGATGAAAGTATATTGTATATTGGCAGCACTAAATACCTGACTTTTTTTTCAATTTTCAAGATAGTAGCCCTACATTTGTACTTAAAAAATACTAGTTAAAAGCAAATTTTATTAGCATAATTCATAATAGAGATGAACAACTAAATTTCATTGTATTCTTTGAATCTCCAAAATCCAGTTTTAGAACTGTACTATTATTAAAGATTTTCAGAGGAAACATTACTTAGAAATAAGTGAGTGTGCTGGAAGCTTCCTCAGAGAACTCCTGAGAGATACAGGTCTTCCTTTTAGCAGTGTATATCAAAGCATATTTAAAAGGCCAATAATACTATGGCATTGTAAATTATTTTAGTTTTGCTATGTAAACTGCTTCCACTACCTCTAACTTTTTGTTACAAAATTTCTCCCCTTTGTGTTATCCCAAAAGACTGGGGGGCTGTGCCCCCTGCTCATCAAACCCCCCCTCTCTGGGGCTAGGCAGCCCTGATTCTCTCCCTCCACTTCCTCTCCCTCCCCCTCCCCCCCATCCTTGAATATATTTACCAGAGCTCCACACCAGACAGCTCTGGTTAAATTTAAGTGCTTGCTAAAATATATTTTAAGACAGCATTTATGTACAGGCAGTCCCCGACTTACGCGGATCCGACTTATGTCGGATCCGCACTTACGAACGGGGCTTTTCTGGCCCCGGAGCTCACGGGCGGCGGATCGCCACCCGTGTCCTCCGGGGCGAGAAAAGCTTCTCACGGTCTCCCTGGGCCCAGCTGGAGGCCATGTGGCTCCCACCCCTCCTGTCCCCCAGGTAGGGAGGGGAAGGCCTCTTGGCTTCTCCCAAGGATGGGGGAGGAAGGAGGCCATGTGGCTCTTGGCTCCCAGTAACATGGAGGAGGGGGGAGGCCATGCCACTCCGGACGAAGGGAAAGGCTGTGGGACTTAGTGACACATGACGTCAGTCTGTTGTCCCACTGGAAGTTTTTATAGAGAGAGAGCAATTACAGCATATTGGTTAATTTGGAGAGTGGAGGGGTGGAAGCATCAAAACAGTCCTCAATTTAATGCAAAGTAAAGATACATATAATTTTTATTAAAAACCTACAGCAATTCCTTGTCAGACAGCTTGAACTTCCAGTGTGATTAACTGTAGACCACTATGATTATGGAAAACGTTCACCAGTTTGCTTTCAAGCCAACTCTGCTGCATGTGTCCATGAGTTCCATAAAGAGTGCATGCTTTCTGTTTAATACAAACTGTATATTTTTTTTACACCCATCCTTGCTTTTTATATTTTATTTTTGTTTCCCTTTCCTTGGTTGGATGCCTGTGTGTGTTTAATCCAAATCCCTGTCCAGTCCTGGAGTTTGAACTACGGAAAGCCAAGGAGACCATTCAGGCCCTCCGAGCCAACCTGACTCAGGCTGCAGGTGGTGTACATAAACCTTTTCTTTAGTCTTTCTACTTTGACAATGTAGAAGTAGCTGAACTCTTTCTAAGTGAAAGAGAGTAAATTTTATGTTAATTTTTTTTTGCAGAAAATGAAGTTCCTTTGCAGGAACGAAAAAATTATAAATCAAGTCCTGAAATTCAGGTAGGTGGTTGACAGAAACTGAGTTAATAACGTTAAACTGCACATAGCTGTGTCTTAGCAATTGCCAAGAAGGTGAACATAAGTTTTACAGGTTTCATTGTTTTCTTTTTTCTAGGAGCCAATCAAACCTCTTGAAAAAAGAGCTCTAAACTTCCTAGTCAATGAATTTTTATTAAAGAATAGTTACAAGCTTACTTCAATAACCTTTTCAGATGAAAGTGATGATCAGGTAAAGTTTGCTTAACTTTTTTAATAAATACTTGTTGGTACGTCTTGTTTTCAAATCTTGGTTTGTTTAATGTGGTCAGAGTAGTTGTAGAAATGAACTCTGCTTGTGCTGATTTTTACACGTGCATTAATTTTATATTCACCTGACTAATTGCAGTGAAATCAGTGGAAGTACTAGCATGAGTAAATTAATGTTTATAAAAATTTTGCTCACTAGAGCCATAAAGTGAAAGTATAGGAGCACTTAGTAATGCATCAAAACAGGCTTTGTTTTCAAAACATGCAAATAAGGTGCTGCAGAGCACACACAAATAGGTAGAACTGTGTCAACTTGTATTAACTAAAAATGCATCCTTCACCAAGCAGCAGTATTCAGATGAACTTTTTACAAGTAACTTAAATTTTATTTCAAATTCCATAGCCAGTCATTGCTTGGATTCTAGTACAGGTTGGACTTCACTGGTCCAGCACCCTCGGGACCTGACTGGTGTGCCGAACAAGGGGATTTGCCAGACCACGGAAGGTCCCTGCTGCCGCCTCGGGATTTTAGATGCTGCTGGCCCTGCTGCTGCTGGGGCCAAAGCATCACGGCTGGAGCTCCGCAGCTGCCTGGCTCCATGGCTGGGACCAGAGCTTCCTGGCTGCATCTGGGGTCGGTGCTCCTAAGCCACGGGAGCCAAAAAGGGGTCAGGGCCAAAGCTCCTCCGCCGC